TCTGGCCTCCTGGGCCATCATCAGACACCGTGGTACTCTGGCCTCCTGGGCCATCATCAGACACCGTGGTACTCTGGCCTCCTGGGCCATCATCAGACACCATGGTACTCTGGCCTCCTGGGCCATCATCAGAACATATGGTGCTCTGGTCTTCTGGACCATCATCACAACCTATAGTGCTTTGGCCACCTAAATGATCTTCAGACGCTATGGTGTTTTGACCTCCTGAACCATTCTCTGATTCTACAATTTTCTGATTTTTTAAATCACCATCAGAGCTTATGGTATCCTGACCTTCTGAACCATCATCACAAACTACGGTACCCTTACCTCCTGAATCATAATCACACATGTTGGTTTTCTGACCTCGACTTTCTGCATCACCATTAGACACAACAGTATCCTCTTCTTGAGATTTCAAGTTATCACTAGAGACAACGGTAATTTGATGCTGACTAATCATGTCACTTTCTGAAACTTCGGTATCCCGCCTCGAACTTCCTGAGCTATCCTTGCCAACAATACTGTCATCTACAGCAGACGAAGAATCAGAAACAACTGAAATGGCATCAGATATTGGCTTCTCAACCATTCTTCCCTTGTCATCCTTTTCTGACTGGGTCTGATCTAGTGAGGAAGAGACTGAATTTTAATTTACTCAAAAAGACTAGAAATTTAACACACACATACATATATATATATATATAAAATTGTGAAATTCATTTAACAATATAAGGATTACATGACTAAAACAATGTACCTTTAATTATTTTGTTCATAGTTTGGAAATGCTTATTTTAATTTCAACTATATGTTCACATCGAGTGAAGTATTTATGACATTATCTAATTCTTTTGTAACAACATCAATATGATCCAAAAAATGTTATAAGTTTCATATAAGCATTTTTATTGTTAGCATAACAATTAAAGTTGAAAAGCTTTAAACTAAATGTAAAGATACTACAGATGCATCAATGAAACCTCAAATGACTCAGACTAAAAACAATATATACAAATGTTAAACTTGTAACAGCTCAGACTAAAAACAATATATATAGATGTTAAATCTGTAATGGCTCAGACCAAAAACAATATACACAGATGTTAAATTTGTAATGGCTCAGACCAAAAACAATATATATAGATGTTAAATCTGTAATGGCTCAGACTAAAAACAATATATATGGATGTTAAATCAATGATGGCTCAGACCAAAAACAATATATATAGATGTTAAATCTGTAAAGGCTCAGACTAAAAACAATATATATAGATGTTAAATCTGTAAAGGCTCAGACTAAAAACAATATATATAGATGTTAAATCAATGATGGCTCAAACTAAAAACAATATATACAGATGTTAAATCTGTCCATACAAAAGTATCATACATTTTTTACAGTAACTCCCACTTATTGAATGAATAATATGTAGAGGTTTTCTGCCAAACACTGTTGAAAAAGAACACAATGTTAAAAAAATCTGCCAAAATTTGGAAGAAAAAAATGGACATATTTTACCAAAACTGAAAAAATTTAACAGAGTATTGGGCCTAACATTTCTTAGCCATTCAAAGGCAATAGGGAAGGAAAAAAGGCATTAGGACCTATGAAACAGACTCTCAGAATACTAGAAAACGTGTAAGTAAATAAAGTTCAGGAAATGACATCAAACTAAACAGTTAAAGAATTCTGGTGCATGAAAAACATTCAAACACAAACATGGGAAGAAAATCAAAATCTGAGAATTAAAAAAAAAGTTGAATTGAACGACGGCTGGGAAATGGCAACAAACAACAGTAAGAAAAATATGAATCAGAGAATTTGGATAATGAACGAAGAAAAATGAATCTGAGGAGCTAAATTAAAATTATTTGAATAAAGTTCAGGAAATGGCAACAGAAAATCAATTAAATAATTTGTGCATTGGGATAGCTATAGAAGTAAGTAAGATAACGGAGATGCTTGACTGTTACATTGAGGGCTCTGTGAATCATGAGGGGGACCTTAGAATCCCACAACAAAACATGGGTATTTTATGCTAGTTTAAAATAAACCATATCAGTTACTCGGTATATATATAGCAGTTTATCTGCCACAAAATCTATAAGTGTCGAACCCACGTATGTTCACCTCAGACTAAAAGTTGCTGTGTGTGTATATACCACGTTTTCCACCTTTTTGCTGCCATTTCAGAGCACAAGTGTCCCTACTTTGCCAACTACAACCATCAAAGTTTCTCTCATTGCAACAAATTTCAATCATTGACTTTCAGCAACCTGTTAATGTCTCTCACCTGGTGTGCATTTTAATCAACAAAAACATACATCCTAGATCTAATACGATGATGATATATCAAGCCAAGCCTGATTTAAGAACTGGTCATTGCTGGTCAAGCAGACTTTCAGACAACAGTGTTTACTTGTAACAAAGGTTTTTCCATGGCATTTGCAAGACAATTTTGTTTTCAGCTTAAAAATCAATTATCATAAATAAATACATAAAATAATGTCATCGTGGAAATTCTCAGTTGTTAATTTGTTATCAAGAAAAAAAACAAACTTAAAAACACACACACATATATATATTATATAAACATACACACCAGTTTCATTAAGATCAGATTTCAATCCTTTCTTTTTAAAGACAGAGTCTAGTTCATCTTCAACTTTTTTCACTTTTTTACCCACAGTGGACATTATTTTCTCTGGGGATGGTGACTTGTAACGTCTTTGTTCAAAAGCTCGGAACAATTCCCCATCAACGCTATCAGGAGAATGAGACCTTGAGCTCTCTGGAGTAGAATTTTTCTTAAGTTTACCCTGAATAAATACAGTTTACGTAGAATCAATACGGATTTGTGGTGAATACAGTCCACCAGGAGTCAGTGAATATTTAACTTACAAAATAGAGTTTACAAAGAACCAATACTTGTTTTTACTGAATAAATATAGCTGCTGAAAAATAAGTGAATATTTAATTGAATAGATATAGTTTTAAAGGAAGCTACACATTTTTATTAAATAAATATAGTTTACAAAGAAATTAATACACATTTGAAGCACCTCAAAAGATTGTATTCAACTGTAAATAAAACATAAGATGTGGGGTTTGAAGTATTAAGTCTTGATTAATTTTTTTATTCTTAGTAAAGCAGTTTGAATCAGACCTTTTATTTTACTTTATCTCAACATTTTCTTTTTTATTCTTCCTATCTCAACAAATATTTCTATTTTCATAAACCATTAAGTAGTTTTATTTGAAATGAAAAACTATGTTATTTATACTTCATCTGCTAATTCTGATAGACTTTATGAAACTTGTTTTTGTATATTAGAAAACTATAAAAAACAAAAACTTGCATGTAACAGATGTATAATCAGTTTTAAACATGAGAAAAGGATGAATAATAAACGAGAACTGAACTGTTATAAAACATTATGTAAACGAGTTTAACAACACTTACCACCAGAGAGAACATTTCATCCATAGCTGATGATTTGGAGTCGGAAAGGACCTAGAAAATGTTTAGTGACAAACCATGTGTTATTTAAAAACTACAAAATAAAACAGAAAAGGAACTCGGTATACTTTAACTATCAACACATTATGCTAAAACTATACACACACACACACATATATGATTAAAAAAGAAAGAAAGGTTATATAACTTAAAAATAATAGTATAAATGAAATCACAATAAACACAATAGGTAATT